TTAAGCAATAAAATATTATGCTAAATTTAGACGAAAAAAAGAAAGACACGGGAAAAAACAGCTTTCAATGACAATATTATCTGAAAGCAATTACAATTTTTGCTTCTTATTAAATTTATTCCTTTCGTTTCTGTTTGTTTTCCTTTCTTCGGGTTATCTCTTTTTTCTGATTCTTTTATGTTTTTGAATTTGGTAAGTGGATAGTAAAAAATTTGTTTATTGTTGACTATATATATATATATATCAAATATGAAAATTAGCAATAATTTTTCTTCTACTGTATAGTAGTGAAAGTAGTGAAGAAGAAGAAAGAAAAAAAAACTAGCAGAAAAGTTCTAGGAAACTAAAAATTGATGAAACTATTCTATAAAATAGGCTTATTATTCTGTTTTTTGCTTTTGTTTTTTTCTGACTAACTAATGATTAGCAGCATACAGCTTTCAAGTTTAATTTTTACGCTTCAGTTAGCAGCTTATAAACTTTAACACTACTCGATTACAAGTTCTTTTCCACGGTTTTTTTTTTCATCAGTTATCAGCTATGTTTAATAGTTGAAACGTTGGTTGACAAATGGGTTTTAATAATGTTCCTACCTTTTTTTTTCACTGTTTCAGTGCTTTAATTGGGCTATGGATTGGGTGAAACCAACAACAAAAGTTAGCTGTATAATAAGCTCTAGAAAAAAAAAGTTCTTTCTTGTTTTGCTTTGCTTTGCTTTTGTTCTGATTCAAAACCTAAACATTAGAACATATAAAATGTATACTCTTCAATCGGGTATTACTTTCAAATAGTGTTGTTGTTGTTTTTTTTAAATCTAATCCAGTTTTTTATTTCATCAACAATTTTTTTTAGTTAAAGAGCTTATAAAACTGAAAGAAATAATGACAAGAAAGAACAACAGAAGAAGAAAAATTTACACGCAAAAGTGTACCTTTATCAAATTGCCTTTTTTGCTTATTGCCTTCTTCTTTTGTTTGCTTTTTCACTCACTCTCTCACTGTTCACTAAACTCGGATTCAAATTTCAGGAAGTAAAAGTGTTTGATCAAATTTTATAAAACTTAATTATAATTTCTTGTCTTATTCTTTTTTTTTGCTCAACTTTCTTTATAGTTTATTCTGTTGCCATTGCACTTTTTCATCCTCCGATTATGTCACTTAACTTTTTAGTACATTAAAACCAAAAAAAAATCTAAAAAAAGTAACCAACAACGCTCAACAACTAAATCTGTCGGTAGTGGTCTCGCTGTTTTTTTGTAGAAATTTGTTTGTTGCTGTAGTTGTTTGACAGAAGTCTAGTCTAATCTTAAGAGTATTCTCTGTTCAGTTTTAGGCAAAAATTAACGCATCTTATCTTTGTATTCCTTCTCTTGCAGTTTTCTTCTTTTTTTTGGAAAAAAAAATACTAGACAAGTTGATTGGTAATAAAACAGTCAAAAAAGACAAAAAAAAAAATAAGATATAAAAATTTTAATGTATAAAAGCAGTAAAATTTATAGTTTATTATATGAATATTGTTGAAAAAAAAAAGAACTTTTCCTTTTTTTTTTTTTTTGCATAAAAAGATCAAATGTCTAAAGGATACTTTGATGACAATCAACCCAAATGATAGTGTTTGATGTACTTCATACGTTCTTAAATACTCTTCCCCCATTTGAACAACATTTATATGCTATATATTTTTGCTCTTTTTTTTTTTTTTTCAACATCTTTTTGTTTTTTAGCTGTTATTGTTCTTCCCTTTTTTTTTTCTGCTATAAAAAAGGGATTACAG